AAAAAAAAAAAAAAGAGAGAGAGAAGAAAATCAAATCGGAAAACAGCATGAATCGATCTCTGTGTCTGTGCTTCGTCGTCTTCTTCTTCCCAGAATGAGATTGGGGTTAGGGTTTTGTTCCACTGCAACCATGCTCATTTCACCAAATCCATAGCCTTCGTCTGGTCAAGAAGGAAAGCCCTAAAATGTCGTCCTCCTCCTCCTCTGCATCGCCGTCATCTTCGTCATCGGCCTTCGTCGTGATCTGCCTCCTCCACTCCGTGATCGCCATAGGAAGTGGCGCGCTAATGATGTTCCACATGAAGGAAATCTACACCTTCACGCACGGTGTCGAGACTGCCACAAAGCTTCTCGGTTCGACTCCACACGACCAGCTCCTGATCCGGACCTCCGATTCCTTCTCCGGGTTACTGCTGTTCGCCATCGGATTCTTGGTATTTATGGTTTCTTTCGTTAGGGATAAAGATTTCCAGTTCTTCTTTGCGAAGGGATGTACCATTTTACATGTTTTCACGGCGATATGGCGGGTCTGGTTCGAGAGGAGGGTAGAGGACTTGGCATGGGATTGGCTAAGGCAGACGGTTGGTGATATTTTATTGTCTCTCTCTTGGGTATTCTTTCTGGTATACTCTTGGAGAGAGAAGTATGATTAGGTTGAATCTGAACTTAGCTCTCTTTTTACTTAATTTTAGTTGCTGCTTATATTTGATTTCTTCCTTTTTGAGTGTACATGGGGGATTTAGTGATTTGTTTTGAAATTTGGTGTAAGATTAATGAGCACTAATCAGAATTTGTGAAATCAACTACCTTTGCATTTCATCTACACTTAGTTGGTATCAGTTGTCTATTGTAATTATTATTTGGATGAGTAAATGGAACATATGACTCTTTCTGGGTAATTCTTTTTCTGTGAGTATGGTTTTATTATATGATTATTGCCTTTAGGCCTGTCTATCTATATGCACCAATTCTTTGAGCTTGTTAATTGTGATTGGGGTTTTATTTTAACTGATATCCACCCATGTTCATTTTATATGTTTGCAGTTGCATTTAGGAAATCAGCAGCAGAGTGTGTAGAATACTGTGAAGCGTCCTTGTGTGCTGTTAACTGAACTAGCCTCTTGGGAATTAAATGTTTTTTTTTTAATCGCTCTGGGAACCAGATAGTCACTACTGAGCTGTTGCGGTCAAGCACATGTTTTGGAATTTAAAATTCAATGTCATATCTTGCTGCATAGCTTTAATTTTACAATTGAGGGTGGACTTGAAATATTTATTCACAGAACAGAATGGGGTTTAGGGATTTCTCAACATAAAAGAGTTTATATCTTTGTAGTAGATATACACTCACTGTGATTTGTGATGAACTGGTTTTGAGCCATAGGCGTGATTGAAGCAAGAATCTTAGAGATACCAATAAAAAGAGTTGTGAGGTAACTCCTAACCTTCTATTTCCATTTTTTTTCCTGTCAATCTATTTCATGCTTTGAGAGAGATGGAATACCTTAGGTGTGTCATATTTGCAGAATGATATTTATATAGCCTTTCTCATCACCTATTAATTTGACAACAATAAGGATGTAAGCTTTCTCTCATAAGTTCATGCCATATGTTATCATTTATGGGCAGAAATTCTGTATTATACATCATTGGCATATGTTTTCCTTTCTTTTCTCTTGTACCAGGGCTTTTGAATCTGCATAATAATGTTTATGTTCCTCTGTTGATACAACGGATTTTTTTTTTTTTTTTCTTTTCAGAATTTTTATCTGCAATGTTGGCTTCGTATGTTCAATGATACTCTCAGTTTAAATGTCAATCTTTGGATTTATATTCTATCAATTAATGAAGCGATAGATGGTATGCATATGTGTAAGAACTAAGAAGGCTTCATTAAGGGTTGGTATTGGTTTATGAACATGAGCATTTGTTAGCCTGGTTGGCTTTTGAGACTAGATAGGATGAAAATTGTTTGCTTGCTGCTTTCCTCATTATATCAGTTAGCGTAGAGGTTTAGTTTATCCAAGTTCTCACCATCTTCAAGGTTTACGTTTAACTAAACTAAAATAGGTTGGGGAGAGAGAACCGTTTACAGACTTCGAACCCAGATGATCGTGTCTTGGCGGTAGTACTCCACGTGTCCGGATCGCTTTCTCAATTGCAGACGTATCAGGAGCCCATCAGTGGCATAATGATAGCCTTTTGTAAGTGGTCTAAATCCATGAGCTTGGGTTGGTGGTGGGATCGCCATTCCTTGTTTTGAAATTAAACAAAGTCAAGAGTAACATTCAGCGAACAAAAACACGGGATAACAGTGATACAAAGGATCAAATTAATAATTGCATCAAATACATTAATCCTACATCACTGTCGTTTCACGTTTTCGTCCATTGAATCATTATTTCAAAGTCAATATCTAGTTTCTTAAAACACACTGAGTAATGATTCGACTGAATACGGATCCCCCGACCATGTCGAAAGATCTTTCCTGGGTCCCAGATATTCCTCATCTGGCTGGACAATGGGTCCAAAGAATTTCCATCAGATACCAAAATTTTCGAATTGCGTGAACTCGGGACTGAGGAAAACAAAAGTCCGTGTGGATCGATAAGGAAATTAAAGCGATCGTAATCGTATTAATATGGCAACACCAGCCGCTCATGTACGATGGACGAACGGGAAATGAATCCACCGTAGTGATACCGGACATATATTGTTTAGCTACACAAGAGGACGTAAAATTTCGCCACTAATATTTATTAGTACCATGACAAACACAATAAGAAAATTGTGGTTGTGGAAAGAGTTATTCCTTTTCAAAATCAACCCTAATGATTGGGATCGGACATTCTATTGTGTTCACCACGTCTTGAAGACAATCATAAAAGTGGGCTATCTTAATCTTTTCTTTACCAGAATAGATCGCCTCAGCAGCTCCACCTTGCTCTCCTTGAGCTGCCATCTCAATCAACATATAAACCTTCTTGATAGGCATCTGCAAAACAGTTTGAATACAATGGAATTTAGTTTTGATGATAACAATGAAAACAGCATACAAACCCATGATTAAAGACTCACATCGTTCAGGGCCTCAGCAGCTGCATCTATATCTTCCCCAGCAAACACATTCAATTGTTCTAACACCTGTTAAGGGAAGTAGTTATGATGAATTTAAGTTCGTGGTAAACAAGCACACAATCTATTTTCTAGAACTGTGAAGAAATCACACTCAGAAACAGAACATGCTGTTCAAAAAAATTCATTCAGAACACAATAGTCCGGTCATCAGAACTGTGAAGAAATATGGATGAATTATCTTTGGATTAAACCTCACATATTGTTACAGGACTGTAAAAAGTAAATTTATTACTGAAAACCTCGGTTTAAAATTTTTTCATAATTGTCATATCCTTTGATCTTACACTGGAGAAAGTGGCTATCATTGAAATTTAAGAACTGCTGAATTAGGCAAACGGTTTTTATTAGCAAGTTACTGTTCATATCATTTCAGCATGCAACAGCCCTGCTCTGGGTTAGTTATTATCAAAGCTTGTTCTTTATAAATTCCACCTGGTAACCTATTTTCCGAATTAATTGCAGAAATGACATTGACTAGTTAAACAAGGCGTATAAGTATGTAACTGAGAATATGTAGTAGCAACAGCAGTTCTTACCTTCTTTACGTCATCTGTCTTCAATTTAGGAACCTGATAGGGGACAGAGAAAGCATCACAAATGCCAACTGATTCTAAGAAACTCATTTCACTGGTTGTTCCTAACACAAGAAGTTTCTTCCCCTGAAAATGAAGTTTTAAA